AGAAAGAGAGGACAACAACATCCAATCAGGTCGCGCCTGTCATCGGGGCAGTCAACTACTCAGACGGTTAATTCTGCTCTTTCGTGAAGAGGGTGCGGCGCCTCTTACTCATCACACGTCGTCCAGTGAGAAAGGGGGGGGGGGCACAGGGCGTGTGCGTCCTAATCTTAAAGGAGATATATTGATTTGTCATGGTTGTGGTTTTTTATAATGGAATAATAGAGCTAGTGGAGCGTTCTGTTTCTTGTCCGCTGTAATCATTTTTCTCATTTGTTTGGATGTTGCTAACTCTGTTGTGTTTTTATTTAATTTTTTAGTATTTTACTTGGGCAATGTCGATGTAAAAGTAAGGAGAAACAATTACTGTTAGTGAGGCTTGAGAGACAGAGAGAGACGGGGTATATTTAACAAATGTAGTCAGTTCTTTTTTTTTTTGCTGTCTGTTTTCGTTGTAGAAATGAAATATGGTTGTGTTCATCAACTCTGTCACCTCTTAAGTGCGTTCACAACGTGGACTGGCAGATTGGGTGTTTGCTTGCTTTGAACCTCTGATTGGACGCGCTTTAATATGTGTAATTCCCAGTCGGAAATCAATGCGTATTCATCTTCCTGCTCCTCTACATCCATAAAGCTCGTGAAAGTCAATAAGAATTGGCCGGTTGTCGAGCTTTCTTTGTCTGACGCGTTGTTGAGGATGGCTGCAACAGCCGATGCCTCTCTGCTCTGCACTCCATGAATGACTGCAGTGGGGCAGTGTGCCTCCGCATGGCAAAGTAGGAGCACCTTCTCTCTTCGTAGCGCCTCGGTTGTGAGGGAAAGGGACGTGTCCACGATAAATGAGGCGTAAACATGCGGGGAGTCCTGCGATAAATTTGTGTTTTGGGCGCACCTAATCCATTTGCGGCACCAGGAGACGATGTGGTTTTGCGCAAGAAGGCCCGTTGGCGGAGCAAAGCGGCTGGCGATGTAACGGTAGAACAGAATGAACACTTCGCAGGTTATAAGATAGGCGCCATGACGATGCTGCCCCATAAGTTGGAAGACTTCATGCATGAGACCTTTTGCTTCACCGAAAAAGTTGCGTTCAATAATACCGCGCGATGCAAGAGTCACAAGACGTTCTGCCTTACGACAGAGCCGCATCTCCTCCGCAGGCATTTCGTCATCTCGCCACCGCTCCCCACAACGGTGGCATACCCAAGGCTCAGACGGTACGAGCCGACACTGTAGTGAAAATTCGTTTGCCTCTTGCTCTGAACCGCCATGCTTGTGTGACTGTATCGCGTGCGAAAGTAGCCTGCGCCGCCAACCTTCGTTCCCCCGACAGAGGGGACATGGAAAGGCTCTTAGAGCATCTACTCCGTTTACTCCAAATCCACTCTGTGCTTTCTGTTGCCTCTCTTCACCCACCACACCGTACGCATGGCGGGAAGAATTCATACCACCAGTGCATCGGTCGCATGCACACAAGCATCCGACATTCGCGCTCACATATTGTTGTCGAAGGGGGATTGGAAGCTTCAGCATCATCTGCCGCGCAAGGTCAAAGTGGGGTTTCCAAAAATTGTCCATCGTGAGTGGCTCGTGCATGTCTATTATGCGCAAGGCCCGTAACTCACAGGTCTCAAAATTCCAAATGCAGTTTGGGGAACAGGAATGTGAGACACGCGAAACAAGATCAAAAAAACCCCACTCGTTTGCACGAAAGCGCCGCCGCGAGGTCATTGCCGTAAAAAAAAGATTCACCAACCAACGAGGTGGGGTGCCGTCAGAGATCGCAGTCAGGTACGTTGTCGCCGTCACAATTACATCCGCAGTTACAGCCTTCACACCTTGCAGGCCATTCAGCAAAAGTGTCAAGAGATCTTCTTCACTTCTAAGCACCTCCTCGCTTGTTAGCTCTTCACGTGCCTTCTGCAAGAAGGCATTCACAAGAGCCCGCAGACCTTCATCGTGCACGGATGTTTGTCGCGGAGTCAATGCGGGAGGAAATCCATTGGCCTCCCAAACCAATAACGGCGCATTGTCACAGGCCACTACCTCACCAGACATAATCCGTCTAGATGACACTGGCGTCTCTCCCGGAGTTATCACAACCTTGGGATACTTTAGAGTCCAAATGTTCATGCGTTCAGTCTCCAGTAGTCCCCAGCATGCCATACCGTCTTCCTCTAACATGTACGGGATGAGTTTGGCGAGTCCCCTCCGCAACACGGTTAATGCTGCTTCATTGTGACCAAGAGCACGGGACAGAAGCCCAGACAAAAGCAGAGTTATTGATGTGGTCATCTTTGCTGCACATACACTGCCCGTTAATGTCCTTGTAAGAAGATCCACTGCCTCTTTGATGAGCTGAAGCGTGTCTGTATTGACGACGTCGCCAGTAACGTCATCAGTAAAGGAAATTGCATCCAGCAGACGCAGTGCATGTGCATAGTACTCTGGCCCCTTCCCCAGAGAGGTAAGATGCCTCAAAGCGTTCTCCAGGTGACTTCGCTCCTCTTGTTGCTGCCATTTCTTCCACATTGTCGTTGCTAACCGCGCCTCACCGTCCTTGTCAGCTTGAGCCCCGCAAAGTGTTCGATGTCCAAACCAGCCAACCTCCGCACAGCTCACAGAGCAGTACAGTAGCTGGTGGCAATCAGGGCAAGCGATGAACTCCCGGGCGCTGGAGCTCCCGTCAGCCGCATCATCGCCAGTAAATGCGCATATAAAACACCTCATTTCCTCAACGACACCCACGGCGGGTAGCTTAATATATATATATATATATATATATATATA